TCCCTTGCAGTTATTTGTTGAAGGAAAAAAATAGTCATTTACCCTGAAAATGTTTTCACCCTTGAAAAATATATTGCATATACTGTCCTGGGAGTGTCACATTACATATTTTATTCCATTCATTTTCTAGGCTTTGGGGTGAGCCTGTTAATCTGCGTGAGCAACATGATGCTTTAGAATTTTTTAATTCTTTGGTGGATAGTTTAGATGAAGCTTTGAAAGCCTTAGGACATCCTGCTATGCTAAGTAAAGTTTTAGGAGGTTCCTTTGCGGATCAGAAGATTTGCCAAGGCTGCCCACATAGGTAAGTGCTAATTACATAGTTTAAGTTTATGTTGTGCTGTTGATTTACTAACAAAAATAAAATTTTTATTAGTAGTTATGTATACAAGTGGAGTATGTCACTGATGACTAAATAACTCAGGCTGGATGAATTATATACTGTGTATACCTCACTACTTTGGGAGTTGGTTTTTATAAAATAACTAGAGGCCCGGTGCACGAAATTCATGCACAGGTAGGGTCCCTAGGCCTGGCCGGTGATCAGGGCCGATCAGGGCCTTCCTTCCTTCCTTCTGCACTGCCCTTTGGTGGTCAGCACACATCATAGCGAGAGAGAGAGAGAGAGAGAGAGAGAGAGAGAACTCCCTGTCTCCTGGTTGAACTCCCGTGGTGACACTTTGCTTATTAGCCTTTTAGATAGATGATAGATAGATGATAGATAGATAGATAGATATAGATATTTGCTTCTTTTTACTGTATAATCTCTTACTATTTCATACTCTTGCATTTTATGTATGGTTATTTGTGAGGAAATAAAATGGCATTTTCCATACCAATGCATATGTTACTTACAAATTTGTCCTTAGTTTTAGAATTAAAATAATTATAGTATTATAAATACAGTGACTTTACAAGATGACAGAAACGGAGCACTATTTCCTAAACAAATGAAATACTGACTTTTAAAATAGCATTGATTATGGTCATTATCCTTAAGGTATGTTTTCCTCACAGAACATAGCAAGAGTTGACTAAACAAATTGGCTTTTTTACTTAAAAGGGAAATTGTTTGATCAGGACTTATTGAAAATAGTTCAATAACTATTAAAAATTCGTTACTGATAATCTTTATGCCTATTATGTGGAAATTTTGTTTTGGAATCTATCAATTAATGTTGGTTTGAAATTGTTTTTGCCAAAATATCACAGTAAGAGTATTTTCCACAAGCCCAAGCAGCATTCCATGTGGTCCTCATGGGTTGTGTGTGTGTATGGTTGGTGGGCTGCTTCGCTTTGGAACATGGGGAAATGATTGGGGTGAGTAATACTGTGTGAATGAGAGATTCTATTAGGTTAAAGCATTCAGATCAGGGGCATGTCATTGTTCGCGTACCCTGCACAGCTTGTGGTCCTTTTGAAAGACGTGTTACAGCCCAGCCGGCGTGGCTCAGTGGTTGAACATTGACCTATGAACCTGGAGGTCACGGGTTCGATTCCTGGTCAGGGCACATGCCTGGGTTGAGGGCTCGATCCCCAGTGTGGGGTGTGCAAGACGCAGCTGGTCAATGATTCTCTCTCATCATTGATGTTTCTATCTCCCTCTCCCTGTCTGAAATAAACGCAATAAAAATATTTTTTAAAAAAGACATGTTACATTAGGTGGACAATAAAATTCACATTTTTACGTGTTTTTTTTTTCTTTTTTTTTTTAATATATTTTATTGATTTTTTACAGAGAGGAAGGGAGAGAGATAGAGAGTTAGAAACATCGATGAGAGAGAAACATCGATCAGCTGCCTCCTGCACATCCCCCACAGAGGATGTGCCCGCAACCCAAGTACATGCCCTTGACCGGAATCGAACCTGGGACCTTTCAGTCCGCAGGCCGACGCTCTATCCACTGAGCCAAACCGGTTTCGGCTTTTTTAAATTCTTTATTGTTGTTGAAAGTATTACGTATGTCTCCTTTTTCCCCCATTGACCTCTCCCAGCCCGCTCCCACCCCACCCCCAGCACAGGCCCTCACCTTTACCTACACTTACCTACCTCACCCCCTATTGTCTGTGTCCATTGGTTATGCTTATATGCATGTCTACAGTCTTTTGGTTGATCTCTTACTTCTCTCCCCAATCCCCACCCCCAAGTTTTGACGGTCTGTTCAATGCTTCTATTTCTCTGGATCTATTTTTGTTCATCAGTTTATATTGTTCATACTTCTTGTTTTTAATTGCTGATAAAATAGCCAACTTTTTTTTTGTATGTTTTTGTTGATTTCGGAGAGGAAGGGAAAAGGAGAGAGAGAGATAGAAACATCAGTGATAAGAGAGAATCATTGATCGGCTGCCTCCTGCACACTCCCTACTGGGGATTGAGCCTGCAACCCGGGCATAGGCCCTTGAACCGGAATCGAACCTGGGACCCTTCAGTCTGCAGGCCAACGTTCTATCCACTGAGCCAAACTGGCTAGGGCAAAATAGCCAGCTCTTTAGTTATCTATTCCTGTTAGTCCTTGATTTGTTTTAGATAGTTTTCAAGTTTATTTGGAAATGACTGATTTTCTGTAAAAGGCCAGGCAGTAAAATAAATATTACAGGCTTTTTTGGGCTGTGAGGTCTTGAGGCAACTACTCAACTCTGTTTGTTCTAGTGAAAGCAGCCAGGCAGACAGTAGGTAAAGGTAGGTATGTTTCAACAAAACTTTACAGAAACAGGCGCAGGCCTGGATTTGACCAATGGCCCGCAGCTTATCACCCCTGCTCTAGACTAGTAATGCCCTAAACCAGCATCGGGGCTGTCTGTGTGACTAGTCCGTTGTGGAGCAGGCATTTAACTTCAGGGTCTTACTAAGATCGTGCTCTTTGGACATTTCCACGCAGCTACGGGTTTCATGTTGTATTATAAATACTGCACATGCCCACGACTAAAGGTTTAGAAGGCTGGGGAATAACTCCTTTTTGATCTTTTTTTAAATAATGTCTTAGATACGAGTGTGAAGAATCTTTTACGACTTTGAATGTAGACATTCGAAATCACCAAAATCTTCTTGATTCTTTGGAACAATACGTCAAAGGAGATTTATTAGAAGGTGCAAATGCATATCATTGTGAGAAATGCAATAAAAAGGTATGAGTTGTCCCGTCTCGTTTATCTTAATTCTGATTACATTTAATGGATTTGGAAGAAGTTGACGGTGTTTGTTTGTTCTTAAAAGTCACCTTTATTTCTTACCCTGCTTTTGAGGGCAGTTGAGATGGTAAGTGATTGAAAGGTTGGTCAGGGAAAGAAAATTGAGAGAAAGTAGTCTGGGAGGGTAGGGAAAACAGGTGAGTAAGGTAAGAGTGAATCAGTTTAGCGGCCATAATACCTTAGTATCACATTCTCTTGACTGAAACACAGACCTTTTTCGTTCATACTCAACCAACCTGCTACTAAAATCCTCGAAGCTAGAGTCGTAGAACCTATCATTTCTTCTCTCATGTCCAGAGTTACTTGTCAAGACCAAGAAGTTTGCTTGAACCATTAATTACTTGATTTAGACACATCAGATTTCTTCTACCACTTGGATCAGATTTTTAGACCCACCTGATTATTTTTATCTATGGGCACCTAACATCTTTTTGGGAGAGACAATTCAGACAGACAGACAGTAATGTGTATGGGGGGGGGGGGGTTCCCAAACCCTCTCATGTAGAACTCACCTGTGTGGGGTTTTCTGTTGTTTTTTGCCTTACACACCACTTAGGGAGGTGTCAAAGTCTAGAGGTTGAGATGGTGAGTTGTAAGGCCATACTGCCTGCCACCCACAGCGCTGAGACTTGAGGCAAGTTACTCGATCTCGCTGCTACTCCTGACCTTCATCCTTACGATTCAGTAGCACCTGCCTGAGAGGGTTGTGAGGATTGAATATGTTACTTCTGGGCAGCACGTAGCATGTTATTTGGTACCTGGTTACCCAATAAATATTAGCTCCTATTACTGGATTTCTTCATTTTGCTCACAGAAAACTACACCTTCATTAGAGTAACAGTAGACATCAAACAAGTAATAATGGTTCAATGACAATGTAAAAACCAGGCAGTGAGTAATTCCTCTATTACTAATTTTTGCAATTTATAATAAATGGCATTAGCTATTTCCATACTCGTTTCAGTTAATATTTTTTAAAATATCAATTGTGACAGAATTAATTTGTGTTCCTTGTTTGTTGACACATAATTTCAGATTAGTCTTAAGAGAACTTGCCAGTGTCACCCCAATGAATTCAATTGAAAAAGAGAACTTACAATTTTAAAGTCTGTTTTTTGCAGTGGATTGACTATAAGAGAGCAGCATCTAGTAACTTGGTCTGTTTATTTTAGGTTGATACTGTAAAACGCCTGCTAATTAAAAAATTACCTCCTGTTCTTGCTATTCAACTGAAACGATTCGACTATGACTGGGAAAGAGAGTGTGCGATCAAGTTCAATGATTATTTTGAGTTTCCTCGAGAGCTGGACATGGAGCCTTACACGGTGGCAGGTGTCGCAAAGCTGGAGGGAGACAATGTGAACCCAGAGAGTCAGCTGATTCAGCAGAACGAGCAGTCCGAGGGCGAGGTGGCGGGCAGCACGAAGTACAGGCTCGTGGGTGTGCTTGTCCACAGCGGCCAGGCGAGTGGCGGCCACTATTATTCTTACATCATTCAGAGGAATGGTGTGGACGGTGAGAGAAATCGCTGGTATAAATTCGATGACGGCGATGTGACAGAGTGTAAAATGGATGATGACGAAGAAATGAAAAACCAGTGTTTTGGGGGAGAGTACATGGGAGAAGTGTTCGATCACATGATGAAGCGCATGTCATACAGGCGCCAGAAAAGGTGGTGGAACGCCTACATACTCTTTTATGAGCGATTGGACACGATAGACCAAGGCGATGAGTTGATACGATACATATCCGAGCTCGCTGTCACCAGCAGACCCCATCAAATCGTCATGCCATCGGCCATCGAGAGAAGTGTGCGCAAACAGAACGTGCAGTTCATGCATAACCGAATGCAGTACAGTTTGGAATATTTTCAGTTCATGAAAAAACTGCTTACATGTAATGGTGTTTACTTAAATCCTCCTCCCGGTGAGTGTCCAAAAAATGTAGCTGCTTAATGATAAAGCATGGCTCTTACTCTACTCGCGGAGTTTCTTACTAGGCATCAACATGTTTGGTTTTCACATTTGGTTGTTTGTAGTCTAATTTCAGAAGACTTACCTTTAAGAGAGTATATTGTCTTGCTGTTTGAAAACGGGAGCTTTTGTTTATTATAACAGTTTGTTTTTGACTCGAGCATTAGTTTGGAATGTGCTTGAGCAAACTAAGAATTATTTCATGCCCTAGCCGGTTTTGCTCAGTGGATAGAGCAGGGGTCCTCAAACTTTTTAAACGGGGCCAGTTCACTGTCCCTCAGACCGTTGGAGGGCCGGACTATAGTTTAAAAAAAACTATGAACAAATTCCTATGCACACTGCACATATCTTATTTTGAAGTAAAAAAACAAAACGGGAACAAATACAATATTTGTATTTGCATGTGGCCCGCGGGCCGTAGTTTGAGGACCCCTGGGATAGAGCATCAGCCTGCGGACTGAAGGGTCCCAGGTTTGATTCCCGTCAAGGGCACGTGCCTGGGTTGCTGGCTCGATCCCCAGTAGGGGGCGTACAGGAGGCAGCCGATCAATGATTCTCATTGATGTTTCTATCTATCTCTCCTCCCTTCCTCTCTGAAATCAATAAAAAAAATATTTTTTTAAAAAAAGAATTATTTCATGAGTAGACTTCTGAGGATTGGTAGAAATGTACACATGTTTGAAAATGGGTTTGGACATAGAAATTGGTCTAATTTTTATATCTGCATTTTATTTCTAGGGCAAGATCACCTGTTGCCTGAAGCAGAAGAAATCACCATGATTAGTATTCAACTTGCTGCTAGGTTCCTCTTCACCACAGGGTTTCATACCAAGAAAGTAGTCCGTGGCTCGGCCAGTGATTGGTATGTTGCATAGCATTTTCATTCCTATGATACTAGCATTTAGTTTGGTTCTTTAATACATTTTTTTTCCAAACCATAATAATCTTGTTTCAGATTGGTATGCAGAATTAAAAATCTCTTGGTAGCAGTAGTGAGAGAAAGCACATAAAAGTAGTTATTTAGATTAATAAACATGGCCTTTTATTATTCAAAAGCAGGCTTCTGCTATTTTGTATCATCTTTGACAGTCCCTGTACAAAAGATTACAGGGTGATAGTTAAAAATCTGAACTATTTTATCAGGAAATAATGCATTTTAGCTTTCCTCTAGTAAATACTGCCATAGATTAAAAGGGTAAAGAATGAGCTTCCTATGTTTCTAATTTTGAACATGTAAAGGCCATTATAATACGTTGATTTAATGATTTTTACTTATCCAGTGGTAAGGTGTTTAAGGGAGGGGCAGGTGTTGTTTTGACAGCGTGAACCTAGTAAGAGTTTGGTAATAGGTTTATAGAGAAGTCAAACATACAAGATTTTGTCTGTTCTGTCTCTCTGTGAGAATAGACCGAGTCATAGTGTTCATCTGTCATTTGAATACTAGAAGCACCCTCCAGTAGTAAAAGGTTTTTGGTTTTTATTTGGTTCATAGAGACCCACCCCTGTACTATATGAAACGTGTTCCTGAATTGCTATTCATAGACTTTCTTTCTTTTTTTGCTTTATCTCAGGTATGATGCACTGTGTATTCTCCTTCGCCACAGCAAGAATGTGCGCTTTTGGTTTGCTCATAACGTCCTTTTTAATGTTTCCAATCGCTTCTCTGAATACCTCCTGGAGTGCCCTAGTGCGGAAGTGAGGGGTGCATTTGCAAAGCTGATCGTTTTCATTGCACATTTTTCCTTGCAAGATGGGCCATGCCCTTCACCTTTTGCATCTCCCGGACCTTCTAGTCAGGTAATTGCTTGGGTTTTTTGTTTACAAGTAAATTCCTTTACCTGGAAGTTGAAGTCACATGTATGTGCCTCTCTTTTATATATTTACTTAATGTGCGCGTGCGCACACACCACACAATGTGATGTCTGTGGGTTCCATTTAAAGTAGCTCACAGCAATGAGTAGTGATTATCGGTTCTTTAAAATTTTAACTTTTCTCTGTTGAATCATTTATATGCGGTGACTTAATTTACACTTACTGTTATATAGACTTTTTAAAAAAAATTAGAATAGTATGGAGGCTCTATTATGAAATGTACCTTGGATCTCCATTCCCTTTTCTAACAAGCAACCCTTTTTAATCACTGTGTCATCAGTCCTTCCAGAAACTCCTGCCTGTATTCAACATATACATGCGTGTGTCCCTTTGTTATGCGAATTGAGTTATGTCATGCCTGCACCTTGTTTCTGAAAAACAGCTGATGTGTTCTCCTTCGCAGGCTTATGACAACCTAAGCCTCAGCGATCACCTGCTGAGAGCGGTGCTGAATCTCCTGAGAAGGGAAGTCTCGGAGCATGGGCGCCATTTGCAGCAGTATTTCAACCTGTTTGTGATGTATGCCAATTTAGGTAAGCATTGACGTTTTCAGAATGCTGCTTAGTGTATTCGATGGTGAAGCCATTTAAGTCAACTGATAAGATATAAGCTGGTCTGAAATAGAAACAGTATTCCGTAAAACCTAGTATGAATTCTGTCTGAAACTTTTTTCACTGCCCTTTTCTCCTTGTACTTCAGTTATGCATGTGTCTTATGTCTGCAGTAGGCACAGGTCAGAATCTCTGTCTCAATTGTATTGTTCTCCTAAAGCGGTGGTACCAGATCGGTCTGGTTTTTTAAATACTGATTCCTAGTCCCGCCCCATCCCAAGCAACTGAATCAGAATTCTCAAGGCCAGCCCAATGCATCCACATTCTCAAAAGGTCCCCAGGTGGTTGTATGTGCTCACCAAGTTGGGTGAAGGACTGGCTTGTACATAAGTTTTTGTTGAAGTAAAGTCACTTAAAATTAAGAATAATATGAATGTTCACTTAGATGACCTTGTTATTAATGCTATTACTTCTATATAACAACACTCCTGGTAACCTGCTCCTAACCTCACCTGATCATTTCCTTTCAGTGGTCCTGTACTACTTGCCCTGACAGGATGCTTTAGTGGGGGCAGGCTGGAGGGAGTCAATGGGGGGGAAAGGGATATATGTAATACTTTCAACAATAAAGAATTATTTTAAATAAAGAAATAATTTAAAAGAAAGTATGCTTTACTGCCGTATACTTAACTGTTTTTGACAGTGTTCAAATTTTTGTGTTGCTCCCCGACTCGATTGCAAAGATGAGAGCTTTGCAAAATCGCACTTGGTAAATGTTTGTTAGATGAAGTAGATGGGTACTTGGTGTGATCGGCATGTTATGGTCACTGTGTAACCATTTTAATGCTTCTGAAATTCAATAAAACTCAGTAGATTTTCTGTTCTGGTTAGATAATTCTCTGATCATAAAAGTTATAGAGAAATATTTGACATACCTACTCTATGATTGAAACCTGTACCATCTTAATGAATTCCTCTCCTATAATCCTCTCCCGTCCCTCTTCATTGTAGGAGTGGCCGAGAAGACACAGCTTCTGAAGTTGAGTGTGCCTGCCACCTTCATGCTTGTGTCTTTGGATGAGGGCCCAGGTCCTCCCATCAAATACCAGTATGCTGAGTTGGGCAAGCTGTACTCAGTAGTGTCCCAGCTGATCCGCTGTTGCAATGTCTCGTCAAGAATGCAGTCCTCAATCAATGGTAAGTCAAATGCTCTGTTCCTCCAGTGGTTCTGAAATCCTGCTGGGCATACACGGTACCCACTTAAAAGTAATTCTGCCCTAGCTGGTTCGCCTCAGAGGAGAGCACATCGGCCCGAAGACTGAAGGGTCCTGGGTTCGATGCCGATCAAGGCCATGTGCCTCAGTTGCAGGCTCCATCCCTAGCCCTGCTGCCAATGGATGACTCTCTCATCATTGATTCTCTCTCCCTCTCCCTTCCCTTCTGAAATCAATAAAAATGTTTCTTTAAAAAAGAATCCTTCTATTAAAAATTTGAATAAATAAATATAAAACAAGACTGAAAGTTTATGCTGTTTTTTCTAAAATAGAAACTTAAAAGCCCATAAGCAGTTTTGTATGCTGGAAGCTGTACTGTTGTGAAGGAGCCTATTGGTGTTTCATTGATGGCAAATCTGTATTCTAGGTAATCCTCCTCTTCCCAACCCTTTTGGTGATCCTAATTTATCCCAGCCTATCATGCCAATTCAGCAGAATGTGGCAGACATTTTATTTGTGAGAACAAGTTATGTGAAGAAAATCATTGAGGATTGCAGTAACTCGGAGGAAACCGTCAAATTGCTTCGTTTTTGCTGCTGGGAGAATCCTCAGTTCTCATCTACTGTCCTCAGTGAACTTCTGTGGCAGGTTAAAGAAAAATAAACATTCCTATATCGATAATTCGATTTGTTGTTCCTTCAAATGAGGTACTCACTGTGTCTGGCCTGTTTTCAGGTTGCGTATTCCTACACTTACGAGCTGCGGCCCTATTTGGATCTGCTTTTGCAAATCTTGCTGATCGAGGACTCCTGGCAGACTCACAGGTAGGTGCCCTTGTATTTCAAAAACTTAAGAATGAACAATAAGTTCTTCTCGTAACTTTATTTCATTTTTACTCTTTTCTCTCATTGCCTAGATTGCATGCTTAATATAGTAATTTTTTTCTTTTATTAAGAAAAACTAGCATAGGCTTTGGTAAATATTTTCATTTTATTAATGCCCTAGGCCTTTTTTAAAATTAGATTACATTTTCGAATTGGTCACAAGAGATAACATTTGGTTGTGTAAAAGTAGTCGAGCCCTGGCTGGGTAGCTCACTTGGTTGGAGCATCGTCCTGTACACCAAAAGGTTGCAGGTTCGATCCCCAGCCGGGGTGTATACGGGAGCCACCCAATTGATCTTTCTCTCTCAAGTAAAATTCACTGTAGTATACAGTTGAATGGCTTTTAGTACATTCACAGTGGTACAACCATTACCACTGTCTAATTCCAGAATATTTCCATCACCCTAAAAGGAAACCCCATACCCAGATACGCAGTTGCTCCCCATTCCCCCATCCTCTGGAAACCACCGACCTGCTGCCTCTATGGATTTACCTGTTCATAGACAGAATGGTCAGGATTTGCCAGCACACTTCATATAGTGGAATCATGCAACTGTCCGTCTGTGACTGCTTATCTCCTTAGCATAATGTTGTCAAGTTCATCTATGTTAGAGCACAAATCAGTACTTGGTTGCTTTTTTGTGGCTAAATAATAACCCACTATGTGGATATATTCCACATTTTGTTTGCTGGCGGGTGATGTTTTGAACACACAAGGAACAAGGCACATTCTTGCCCCACAATCTTTTTTTTTTTTTTAAGCTTACTTATTTTTACATATTTTGATTGATTTCAGGGCGAGAGAGAGGAACATGAATGATGGGAGAGAATCATTGATTGGGTGCCTCCTGCACGCCCCCTACTGGGGATGGAGCCGCAAGTCGGGCATGTGCCCTTGACCTTAATTGAACCCGGGACCCTTCAGTCTGCAGGCCGATGCTCTACCCACTGAGCCAAACCGGCTCGGGCTACAACCATTTTTTAAATTGCTTATCGAGGGCCAGAACAATAAATCATTGACTACATATTGTTCTGTTGTAGTTTGGCAGGAGCTGAAATGAAATCATCCATCCTTGGCCAAGCAGCCCAATTGTAGTATTGCTGGTAAAAATTGTTTTGCCTGCCACATATTCTCATTATTAGAATCCAAGTTAATTCTGGATTTCCAAAGTATGTCACTGTGTCAGAGTCCCTGGATTGTGACTTACCTTTGGAAATGGCAGTTTTAGAAAAGGAACTGATGCTTAAGTACAGTATTCATAAACTTAGTTGTTATAAACGGTAATTTTAAAAGTTTGTATTACTCACTCTGGTCGTGTATTTGAAGTACATACATAGCAATATCATTTTGGGATTGCTAATAAATTGGTAAGAGCCAGACTGCTAGGCGGCTACATGAGCTTGGGCAGGCTATTTAACCCCTCTACCCATTTTCTCATCTGTTCAAGGGATTGGTAACTACCTACTGTCTAGCGTTAGAGTACATGGCTACGTCAAAGATACTGAGTGGCACATAGTAGGCACTCAGTAAAAGTTAGCTGCTCTCTGGTTTTAGACGTTTTTATTTTATATCTGGTTCTCTTTCAGAATTCATAATGCACTTAAAGGAATCCCCGACGACCGAGATGGGCTGTTTGACACAATCCAGCGCTCTAAGAATCACTATCAGAAGCGAGCGTACCAGTGCATCAAGTGTATGGTGGCTCTCTTTAGCAACTGTCCTGTTGCTTACCAGATTTTGCAGGTGACGATTTTCTCTTTCAATTTTGTAGAAATCTGAGTCCGAATGAAGGAATCTGTTTTAAAAGAACAGAATCGTGAGAATTTGGAGTTGTCATTTTAAGTTCACTTTGAAAAGGATTCCGAGACCTTTTGCACAAATCGTTTTCCTTTCTTTCGAAGGGCAACGGAGATCTGAAAAGAAAGTGGACCTGGGCAGTGGAGTGGCTTGGAGATGAGCTCGAAAGACGACCATACACTGGCAACCCTCAGTACACGTACAACAACTGGTCGCCTCCGGTGCAAAGCAATGAGACCTCAAATGGTTATTTCTTGGAGAGATCACATAGTGCTAGGATGACCCTTGCAAAAGCTTGTGAACTCTGTCCAGAGGAGGTAAACAAAGCCACCAGTGTGCAGCAGATAGGAATGGAAGAAGCCAAAGTAATTCTTTACTTCGTAGGCTAGTGTTTGTGTGTTAACGATAATGTAAAAATATGATGTTGGGGTCTTGGTTTGCTTCAGTGCTTACTACATGTGGTCTTAAGTAATTGAGAGAGCTGCCTTCTCGAGAAATTTCTATAAAATTGCCTGAAATACAGTATTTCTAAGAGAATCCAAATTAGGAATTTTTTTTCAATTGTTTTAATTTGTTTATCTGCAGTAAAACAAAAGTTGTTACTGGGTCAGTTTTATAGATCTTTTAATTTTTTATTTCAAATAGAACGTTAAAATAAACTTGAGTTTGCCTCTATGACTCTCTCTTTAAATCTCTAACACTAGGAGCCAGATGACCAAGATGCGCCGGATGAGCATGAGTCGCCTCCCCCCGAAGATGCCCCGCTGTACCCCCACTCCCCCGGATCTCAGTATCAACAGGTAAGTGGGTGGCGGTGTGTGTTTTTATCCCCAGGAATCAAGTTTTATGCCATATTTAAAGGCTTCGTTTTTTTGTTGTAATGAAAGTAATAGAGGGATTATCTAGAGGAGCTTTGGCGGCGTGATCAGACGGGGCCTGTTGGAGGGAGGCGTGATGGGGTGTGCTGGAACTTGCCTCTGTGGTGTTTTTCTGGTCAGATAGGTGCCCCTCTTTTACTAGGAGGGAAAGTTGGCAAAATGGCGAGAATTCGTGTCAACGTAAAAAGATAGTGTTTAGTGCAAAGGATCATGACAACATCTCCTGTTAGGCTTAGCCTGCAGATGGATTGTGAAGACATTGAGATATGGCAATAAAGTAAGGATTTCTTGGTTATTTAGCCTAAGCGAGACAGTAAAAATGGTTGGGGGAGAATCAAGGATTTGACAGGTCCATAAATTTGCTGTAAAATCAATAACTAAATAAAATTAGGATGAAGAAACTTTCTAAATGAGAGTTCTTTCTAAAGCCCAATGTGATTAACTCAGAGCTTTACAGGCATCAAAGCCCCCTGGTGGGCTTGTTACAGCGCGGAGTGCGGCCCTGCCCACCCCAGCTGCCGATGCGGCTTTTTTAACAAGTTCCCAGGAGATGCTGCTGCCAGTGCAGGAGCCATACTTTCCCATATCTCGGGGGTGGGGGGGTAGAAGTAAGTTCAATGGTTAGAAATTGCATGTTCGACTTTGCATAATACAAATTATAGAAAGTTAATCAGAAAAATCAGCTCGGCCTGGCTGGTGGGAATGTGCAGAAAAGCGGGCAGGTTAGGGGCAGCGTATGCACATTTTAGGTGCTTGGAAGAGTTAGAATACATGTGCTCCGGCTCACAGGTAATTGTTTCTGAATGAACTGTGGTCCTTTATTTGTCAGACTTGGATCTGAAAATCCCTTTGGCCACAGGTTATGCAGACCCGCGCTGCGCTTATATGGGGCTTTGGGGTTTGCATTTAGGCTAGCTTTTCTCTTTCAGACTTTTTTTTTTTTTTTGTCCCCACCGTGAGGCCAAGCATTTTTATTCTTTGTAAGTCCCAGGGATAAAGGAAGTGTTTACATGTCCACCACCTTCAGCCCATGCTTATGAAGTTTCAGGTTCATACATGACCATGTTAACATGCCTGTGTCCTCTCCCCTCGCAGAACAACCATGTGCACGGACAGCCATACACCGGCCCCGCGGCGCATCACATGAACAACCCTCAGAGAGCTGGCCAACGAGCACAAGAAAACTACGAAGGCAGCGAAGAAGTGTCCCCGCCTCAGACGAAGGATCAGTGAAACGCACACGCCTAACTGGTTCCATCAAGACTGTGCACCCAGGCCTTACAGTCCAACCTTTTTCTGTGTCTGGCTAATATTTAAAACTAAAAAAAAACAAAAAACAAAAAAAAAAAACCCCAACAAAAAAAAAAAAACTATTCCTAATCAACATGGAGTGGAAAGTTTATTCACTGTCTTATCTGCAGAAATTTGCTGTCCATATATAACCCGCCTGCAGTGGAAAGTGTATAGTGTTTTGTAATAAATGGCCTGATGCTAATGTGTAAATGGCAAAGGTGTATATAGTATATTAATGTTTGACTGTTAATTCTTAAGCAAGAACCTTTTTTCTTGATGAGACTCTCAGATCTACAAAAACAACAGAAGTTCATTTTCTCGTTCTCCCCAGTGCACTCGGCAGCCAGTGTTCTGCCTCGCGGCAGTCAGGCCAGCCCCTTCACCAAAACACACAATAGCCCAACCGCCACCAAACAGCCCATCCATGTCACCCGCACCGATAGCTTCGTGTTCATTCTCTGCCACTGGAGTCAGTTTCATTCTGGTCAGTGTAGGGCTGCTAGCCTTGCAATGACTCGGTTGATGTGGAAAATCGGTGATGTGACCTTGTTTCTAGATCTTTTTCATTGCCTTTTACTCTGATCTTAGGTTCATCCTTTCGAAGCTGTAGTTACGCTGTGACATTTAGCATGGCTTCCCACAGGTTAGTGTAGCCAGTGAGGACAGATCACCAGGACAGCGGCTGTCCCGGGCGACAGCTGTCGCGCTCAGCTTTTCCTTCTGCCTAGAACATAAACTAGAAAACAAGGGGAGAAACGTGGCGAACAGGCGGTTTTCAGTTCGTTTCACATCCGTGGCTTACACCTGATGTTTGACAGTTCAATCTCTGGGTGGGATAGAGAGACTTGAGTGTCAGTGATGGGAATTTCAAAACATTTAAGACAAATATGCAAAACTTTGCTATGTCAGGATGCTCGGAGCCTAATAGAAGACTGTATTTGGTGTGCTTGTTTTGTTTCTTTGGTAGAGCTTATTAGGTGAGTCTTCTCGAACTTTCCTTCTGGATCCCAGCGAAGCGGAAGTCCTCAGCCCCACAGAGCTCGGTGTCAGTACACCAACGCGTCCGGTTGAGTTTGCTCAGCCAGTTTTACTTGAAAGCAAGAATCGTCCTAGCTCCTTTTCCCTGATCCCAGATAGGGTTAACATTTGAAGCAGGGTTTGATTAAAGAGGAAACTACTGGTTAGTTACCGTGATTGAGGTATTGTGATTTCAGAATAAACACTTACTTAAAGATAAACGCATCGGTTGATACTGTATTGACAAGAGAATTGGTAACTTGAATATGTGTAAGTTTTTGGAACCTGTCTAAAAACCAAATACCCCTGCACACAGATACAGTTCACCCTATTCTATTTAAATATTTTGCTGTTTTGTTTTATAGAAATTATTTTGCTCAATTCACAAATAGAATTTGATTTAAGAAGAACTTTATGTCTTGGTGTGTGGTTGTTTTTTTGTCCTTGTTTTCTGAAGGACTGCATATTCAAGTTAGTGCTGTGCGGAGCGTGCCTCGGCATGCGCTGAATCCAGGTCAGGCCCCTGGAGTTTTTGTGCACAGAGAGGTCTGACCTTCGGCCCTTCACTAAGGATTTAGAGAAAACAGGATGCTGACCCTGTAGACGCTTCCTAACAGACTCAATCTTGTACTTTTTGTATGTTTTTTATATACATGTGTATTTAATGAGCACAAGCTTAGTTGTACTTTTTAAAGTTCAGTTAACAGGAAAACGTTCTGTCAACAGGCTGTGGTTGGAACCGATCAAAGCAGAGACAAAATTGTGATCAAAGGGGGAGATATTTGAGATGAAGCTGTGGGTATCTTACTCGCAGTTCTCTGCAGTCAGTCTGCGCTTCTAGGTTTTCTGTGATACTAGGAAATTTTGACGCCAGATAGATCCTGTTTTTTACCTTAAATATATTACATCTGAGTGTGTTCAGTTTGACGGAAGCTGTTTCAATTCCAGTTGGTCGTTTTTCATTTAAAAGTTGCTCAATTCCAAGCTTCCTTAGCAATAGGGTCACCTGATTTGGACAAGTTGCCATCGTTAAATACACCATCTCACCATCCGAGAGGTGACTGGCATTCCCCACTCCTTACCAAATGTACTTCATTTAGCAGCTTGAATGGCTTGACGTTTTAGAAGGCTGCTTTCTGTGTACAAGTCCCCTTGTGCCAGGTGAGGGCTGGTGACTCCTTTTCCCCTCCATTTGAGGAAGAGTGGTCTCTGTTGTGACCAGGATCAAGGGGAAATGAACAACAGAGTTATTTTTTGTTTGTTTGTGCAAATTATTTTCTATATTTAACTCTTAAACAAGCATTAATGTATAACCGGAAATTTTAAGATGCATGTTATTGTAAGAGCAACGTAGTGGTGATTTTGAGATCTTTTTCTGAACATAAATGGCACATTTTAAACTTCAAGTCTTCAAAGTGCCTAAAGATTATTTATCCCTCAACTGATTTCTTGAGCCATATATATATTTCCTACTTTCAATGTTTGTTGCGGAATCGCTAGTCTTCCTTTCGAAGAAGTATCCCCAGAATTCTAAATGGCATGATTACTTTCTAGAAGACGGTAGAAGCTGTTAACATAAAGACTGAAGATATTTTCACTGTTCATCTGTGAGCAAGGGCTTTGCCCTGTTGGATCTAAGTGTTTTAGTGCACAACTTGGTAAAAACCATATTGCTGCTGTTTCTAAGCCCTCCACCAACCAAATTCCATGTTCAGCATTGTAGAGGCAGAAATAACACAATCCTATTTGGGGGTTTTTGTCTTTCGTTGATTTTTCTCAGTAATAATTTCCCAGCCTTGTGTCTTTTAGCTCTTATGTATACAAATTTAGAATTATTAAAATGTTTTATATTTTTTCATGATTAACTTTTATTAGTGAATAACAACTACTTAAGTATTTAATCCTTGTAGTGGTTAAAAAGATGAGGGTCCTTTTTTATTTGAATTGCATTTCTAAACGAAAGCAGCAGTCAATATTCAGATAACTCCAAAATAGTTCCTTTCAGTGTTTTTTTTGTTTTTGTTTTTTTAGTATTTTTCCAGCTTCGGTTCTCCCAAGAACTCTGCTGAATTTTGTGGTTCATTTGGTGGATATCCTGCCTTATTTAGAATTGTAACTGGATAAGAAAATTGCCTTTTCATTCATTATAAGTGCCCGATTTTGGTCTCTAGTTTGAAGGTACCTACATACTGCCGAGCGAGTAGAACACACCTTCCCCCCAGTTTTGTGTTACGGGAAAACCATTCAGTACTGGTTTCCCAGTAGGGCTCAATCGGAATTGGTCCCGCACCAATGTGAGTGTTTAGTGTTTGGCAAGTTTTGGGGTGTGATAATTCACTACAGAAATGCTCAATGTATTACCTTGCTGCCGATTGTATTTCTGACAATTCGTTTGTTTGCAAACAAAATGTAGCACTTCTCCTCCAAACTTAAGAGGTGTGAGAAAAAAGGGGGAAAGATCCATCATGTTTTAAACTTGGAAATCAGTAAAATGTTTTTATTTTGAAACCCAGATTCCCAAAAGGAAATTTCACCACCAGATCACACACTTCTCAGCCTTTTTCCAGCCGAGACTGACTGAAGATTGTCCACAGGTCCTAAGATTTAGCACATATACAAAAATAAAACTTTATAAATTAAATGCCGGCTTTCCCTTTTATTTATTGAAATTCTAAATGGAAGGTAAATTAGAGGTGTGATTTGAACAGAGTTTATAAAGGGAAGTATTTGTAATTCTGCCCTCACTGTATATTCAAAGCATATTCACATCCAAGTTCAAAAATTGAGTTGTGATGTACTTGCTAACAACTGTTCATTCTAAAATCAAGATTCAGCAAACACTTTGGTGTTTAAAAGTTCATTTAAATAAATGAGCAATGAAGCAGGGCACATGTTTTCATGGGAGTTAAGTGAAAGTTGCGCTGCCCGTGGGACACAGTGGTGGGTGTTGACCTATGAACCAGGAGGTCAGGGTTCGAGTCCCTGTCAGGGCACACGCAGGGGTTCCAGGCTCAGTCTCCAGAAGGGGGCGTGCAGGAGGCAGCCCATTGGTGATTCTCATTGATCTATCTCCCTTTCCCTTTATGAAATCAATAGAAATATTTTTTAAAGAGATTCCTCCATCAAACATTTCAGACCCATGTAAAAAATGAGTTATTTTAAAGACATTCGACTTAAATGTACAAAACTAAAGAATGGGAGTGGTTTGAGCTGTCATCTATCTGAAAAAGATCTTACGTTCCAAGAGCATTAGAATATACTGCATTTCCTCAAGTCACAGATGCTGTGTAAGATGCAGGTAGGCCAAATCAGCCTGCTTTGGGGGATATTAAAACGGGGGGGATCCCATTTGGTAGCCATCCATGTCAGGGCAGATGCTTGTGACTTTATCTTGAAGTAGGAAGTTTCGTTGTGGGCTCTTCTCGCGTTGCTTGTGGGGTACAGAAACCCGATTTGTATGTGTGATGATCAACAAAGCTGGCCCATTGACAAGAGCTTGATGGGACTGACCCCTTGAGGAGCCCTCAAACTATGGGGTTCTTGTCGCATACCTTGCAGTTAACACCCCGAGCAGACTGGCTCCACCACAAAGGGGGGCGCCTGGCTCTTGCCCGTCATGCGTGAGGGACATGGCAACTGGCTTTCCCCTCCCACCACTGCTCTCCCCAAAGGTAAAGGGCCACCTCGCAGGGTACGAATCGTATTCGTGGGCTATTTCTTTTCAGCCGCAGAAATGCAACAACAGTCCAAATGGAGGCCGGGGGTGCTGGGGCGGATCTGCACGGTCACTCGCCTGAGGATTAGACGCACTGACAGCTTTGCTGCCATCACCTGCCCCTCTGCCAAGCTCCCGTGTGACTCCCCGCCCCGCCCACTAAAACAGGGGTCGCCGGGGGGTGTGGCTCCGTGGTTGAGTGACCTATGAACCAGGAGGTCACAGTTCATTCCTGGTCAGGGCACAGGCCGGAGCTCGATCCCCAGTGGGGGAAGGGGGGGTGCAGGAGGCAGCGATCCATGATTCCCTCTCATCATTGTTTCTATCTCTCCCTTCCTCTCTGAAATAAAAAAAATATTTAAAAAAAAAAGCCCTGACCAGTTTGGCTCAGTGGATAGAGCGTCGGCCTGCAGACTGAAGGGTCCCAGGTTCGATTCCGGTCAAGGGCATGTACCTGGGTTGCGGGCACATCCCCAGTGGGGGGTGTGCAGGAGGCAGCTGATCGATGTTTCTAGCTCTCTATCCCTCTCCCTTCCTCCCTGTAAAAATCAATAAAATATATATTTAATAAATAAATAAATGAATGAATGAATAAAAATAAAAAATAAAAGAGACAAACAATTGGTAAATTCGGGAACAGTAATCATGTCCTGTCTGTGGGAGCGAGACCTTCCAAAGGAATTGGTGGTGCTTGTCTGGGAGTGGCCACGGCTCCCGGTTTGAATGGCTGCTCCAGGGCGGGGGGTAGAACGTGACAGGCTCCCCCGTTTGGGGGACAAGATTGCTCGGGTCTGATTTTCTCACTTGGGGTTCAGGAGCAAGAAGAGGACGGTGTCCGGGTCGGTCCAATGTTCCTTTTAGAAAAGGAAAGTGCCCGAGACTTTCCGCCCGCAACCCCCGCGGCCCAACGTCCCAGAGCAAATGGCAAACGAATCGGCGCGCTGAGCCACGCGCCCGGCTCCGGGCGTGCGTTTGGCCCCGGGTGTTTACCCCCGATTCAGTGAGAAGCGAACACAAAGCCCGGGCTTAGCACGAAGCGCGCTGGCTGCCGCCGCCCACAGCAATTTCTGTCTCAGAAACAACATGATCTATTTGCAGCCGAGATGCTGGGCGCCCTGTGAGTTGCTTTAGAGCAGCGGTTCTCAACCTTCCTCATGCCGCGACCCTTTAACACAGTTCCTCATGTTGTGGTGACCCCCAATTTCATTGTTACACATGGAACACAATGAAAGCATAGTGATTAATCACAAAAACAATATGTAATGATAGATGTGTTTTCCGATGGTCTTAGGCGACCCCTGTGAAAGGGTCGTTCGACTGCCAATGGGGTCGCGACCCACAGGTTGAGAACCGCTGCTTTAGAGCAACAGAGGCGTGTGCTTGGGGGGGACCCGGCGGCCCTCCTCCTTTCTAGAGAAAAGCGAAGAAAATGGTGGGGGTTGCTTTCTGTTTACCGTGCGCTTTGCGGCTGAAATTAGCAAAACCATCTTCTGAGACGCTGGCTGGACGGGTTCCCCCGAGGGGTTCTTGCTGATGCTTGGGGGGTGACTTTCATGGACGAGGTCAGCTTTCCTGTATCGTTTGCTTTGGAAAATTCCTATGGAATTTTTTCCCTGCGTATTCACTAAATGATGTCACCAGATAGCATTGTATGTGTGGTGTCTTTTCTATAAAACAAGGCTGCAGGAAAAGACTGGCTTATTCCGTTCTCAGAACCCCGAGGTAGATGAAATCCCCTCCTCTTAGCCACGAAAGACTTGCAGCCGGGCCGGGGGGTTGGAGCGGGGGTGGGGGGGCTCGGGTGGTTGCAGGGCGGGAGGCAGCCGATCCATGTTTCTCTTCTCTCTCTCCCTCTCCCTTCTTGGAAGAATCAATGACAAAAGCGTGTCCTTGAGTGAGGATTAAAAAACAAAAAAAAATCAGCTCCAAGAGCTTCAATGGCTTTTCTGCGGTTGCTCGCGGGGAGAGAGGAGAAGGAGCAATTGTTTTCTTTGTCTTAAAGTCTTGGTCAAATGAATCCAAGGGGCGGAGGCGGCGCCTGGGATGAGCTCCCGGCCGCTGCGGGCGGCGCTGGGGGGGCCCAGGCGCGCCTTTGGACTGTGGCTCCGGCTGCCTCGCACAGCGACGGATCTTTCCTGCAGCGTCGGGGACACGTCTTCTTTCCCCGAATAGATCGCTGGCATTTCGCAGCCGCGTGGATGCGATTTGGTCATCAAGTCTACCCCCACGAGCAGCCGCTGCACCCCCAGAGGAGAGAACGTGGAGGTGTGTGCCCCAAACAGGTTACACCGCCCTTCACAGAGAACAAAGGGAACCTTGAACCTGACGTTTACGCGATGGTAGATGTCAAATCTATTTCAATTCAAAAGGCTGAGCGGCAAGGATTAGTTCTCCTTATTAGATGATATGGGGGGGGGGGGCTCTAGCAAGTGTTGCATTTGAAGATATGGGGTCCTTTTCCTTGTGCGTTCCAAATTTACTACCGAAGCAGAAAATGTAATCAAATTGCATAAAACTGGAAATGCGGAAATAAAGGCAACTTGCGTAGCTTCCATGGCCCCTCATAAATGCCCAGGGTCTTTAAATCACTTTTTCTCTTGATTGTGGAAAGTATTACCTATGTTCCCTTTCCCCCCTTTAATCCCCTGCAGCGCCCCCGCCCCCTTTTATGTATTTTTTAATGGATTTCTGAGAGGAAGGGAGAGGGAGAGAGAAAAACATTAAATCATTTCTAACAATGAGAAGCCATTTGAGAATGAAGGCCTGGCAGACAACCCTATTGTCTTGCTTCGGGAAGGGACATGCCCGCCCGAAACTGCAAGTGAAAGGAAATGAAGCCGGAAGCCTCTCCTATCATGTGATTTCTCCGAGTTTTCTGAATCTTCTGTGGGTTCTCCCTCCGCTGCCGCATCACTAAGAAGTTCCCGCATCTACCATCTTGGGTCAGGCCTCGCCCCCACCGCCCTGGCTGTGGCCCCTCCGCCGGGGAGGGCGCACAGCGGAGCTCGCTGAGCTCACGTGCTTTGCAGGGATCGGAACCCAGGCGGTTTGAAGGGGCCCCGCGGCCTCACAGACACATTATTTGAACCCTCGCTTTGCTCACGTAGGGGCCGGCGAGACGAGTCTGCTAAGTAGATGTGTTGAGCACGCACTAACCTCAGTTATGATCCGCATGCAAACATCTGCCTAACACAGTAACGCCTTGTTGTTGCCAAGCCTCACCCAGGATATTTTCCATCGGTTTCTAGAGAGAGTGGAAGGGAGCGGGAGAGACACACCGAGAGAAACATCGATGTGAGAGAGACATCCATTGGGCTGGGGATGGAGCCTGCAACCGAGGTACGGGCCCTTGACCAGAATCTGACTGGGACCCTTCAGTCTGCGGGCGGAAACTCTATCCACTGAGCCACACCGGCCAGGGCAAGCACTTCTTTTTTGTGAGATACATATATATTTTAAAGCCTCCAATTCCAGTAGGTTCGCTTCGGACTCCCGTTAGAGCCTCTTAGGAGCGCTGGCCTTTCTCGCTGCGCCTTAGGAACAAGCTGAGCGCAGGATTCATTCGTGGCAAGTTGGTCTCCTGTATTGGATCAAAACAAGTCTAATGGATTAATCACAGGAGGAGAAACGAAGCTACCGCTGGTAGGAAGGGTTCTATGCCCTTCTATTCAGCTACACCTTCCCCGGCTCAGCTAATTCAGGGGGACAATCATGTGACTAATTCTCGACTCTGCCAGTTAACCTTTTAGCAACTGGAAAGCGACCTGGTTTTCTCATATAAACCCACCCGGTGGCGCAGGCATTCCACCCTGGGAGGAGGTACACACCCCCCATGGGACGAAAAGCTATTTTCATTTGCAGTGCAAATGTATGTAGCTCACAAACACCATTTCCCCCTAAGTTGGCTCTTGTGAGGGAAAATAAAG